CGAGGTTGAAAATCGCGCGAAAATCAAACTCAAATGAATCGTAGGCTCCTCGCGTCGAGGCGAGTCAAATGGAATACTCACAGTACGACGGTGCAGAAGTTTAACGTCGTAGATTATCGCAATGCAGTACCTATATCCTCTGCAACCTTCCTAGTTGCGATAATGCCACCAGGATGGAAATGACAGCGTAACAAAGTCAGCTGGTCAGTAGAGAGGGCAAATGTGAAATCATGTCGAGTCGTAGAAACACAGCTATCACAGGACAGGTATAGCAAAGCAGTTCACGTATCTACACGAGACTCGTTCACATGTGTTCTAGGACCTTTGCGCAACGAGCATCTCCCGCAAAGAGTATAGGAATCTTGATAATAACTTACTCGGACACATATCCATCGAACGACGCCACATATGCGCCATCGTGCGTTCGCGCCTCTATTCTAGACAGTAGAATACTGTACGACAGAAGACGAAATCATGAGAAGAACAGGCCATGACGCAGACCGTACCGTACACTCCTACACGCGTGCATGGTCCGACATGACACGACACGATGATACTATACGGTGTTCTTCCTACAGAGCAACCTTCGCAGCCGACGTTACACAGTAGATGGCGATCACCTACCTGCAGTATTAACGAGGAGGGAATGAACGGGTTTCTAAGGTCTATTCCATATACATAACTACTCAGTATGCTTTTACAAATGCAGGTGGTTGTGCGGCACAGCGTGCATCTACTGTTCCTCAGCATAGCCCGACGGGAAGGGAGGGGAAGAAGACAGGAAGGAAGGAAGAAGGAAGAATGGGAGATCCCCCTATTATTCGATCTTCGCATTTATTTTCTAGAGTAGGCACTTAGGAAAGATATTACGCGCGAATCCGTCGAGAGGTGCAAACCAGCGGGCGATTTCAAGAGTAGAACTGGAAATGTTATTACCACAGGATAACACTGTCTTTATCCTATATTCGGGTGTAATAATAAAGGTCATGTAATCTCGCCCTTCAATAGTACACTCAGGGGTTCAATGAACTCCCCAACTTCGCGCAAATTGCTACGCATTGTTAGCTAAGGTAGGGCGCTTCACAATGCGGGTAATGTGTCTCGGACGGGGCTGATATGGAAGAATAAATATATCGATACGACTCGCACAATTGCACGGGGGTAAGAAACCAGCCAGGGTTCGTTTCGAGGGATTTCGAGCGTTCAATGAATTTCTATTCTGTGCTGGCTAGTCTCGAGCCATGGTTTCCTATTTCTCCTTATATAAGGTATAACCAGCCAAGTGCTCCCCTGAAAATATGATACCTCGTTGGTACCCAGTCCACATACCGTACAAACAGTAAACATGCGTAACTGAATTGTATAAACTGGTCGCATTGACAGTAATCGATCTATATACGTAAGCGGTGCCGGATGCGCTATATCCAACGCCATTCTATGCATCATTAATCATTAGATTGTTCAGTAATTCAGCGTACCTGTCCCCCTCTCTTACCGCCTTCCAATTAATTCCTCTCGGAGGCGGTCTTCGCGTACGAAATTACTATGGCTCAAGGAATTGGCCGTCGAAGCGGATGGGCTTCTGTATTTAGGACGAACTCGTCTAAGTTTATCAGATCCGGTGACGAGAATATTAGATAGAGATACCGCAGAGTCTCGGCCAGCCAGAAACTCTATACGTCGGTTAGTGAGCAAGCTATTACAAGGTATGCATGTGCATCAGAGAGATAATTTACGAACCTCCATTGAATCGGCCTTCACTGTTTCAGTTACCTTAACAGACTGAATCGCCGAAAAAGCCAGGTCCGTCTCAGTCGCATTGCGGATTGCCTGGAACATTCTCCATGCCATTTCCTGATACTCAGTATCCCCCGTCATACGGTACATTAGGAATACGCTCTCGACAGCCTCGGGTCTCAGAATATAACGGGGGTCTTGAACGCTTCTAATCCCCTCCTTCAGGTTCGTGTTGCCGACAACCTCCCATTCTTCTTGGTCCCATTCGCACGGTTCTAAGCTCTCGCATTTGATTAGGCTGAAGACCTCAGGCATGATACCAGCCGGCATGGCGTCGTATGCCCATACGCATCCCTTTGTGATCTTTTCGCCAATTTCGACGTGCTCCGGGATCTGAAAAAGCTTTCCGCCTAGCCCAAACATCCCACCGACAAAGCAACAGAGATGTTGGGTTTGAGCATTGAGACTCGGACCCTGGTCGGAGACCCAGACATTACCCGAAAACAGGATGTCGGCTTGATCTGGCAACTTAGGTCGAAATAAGATGTTTTCAATCACCGTATCCATCGCCCCGCGGTAGAGTTTCTCGTACACCGGCTCGAGCCCACCTAGTATAGCGAATGCTTTGGGAAGATATTCATAAAGACTATCGGCGGAGGCACCCAAGGTGAAGCTGCTATCCGAATCCAACTCTATGCGTTGCAGGTCGAAGTAGGTCGGCCACATTCCAGGAAGGTTTGTCCTGTTTTGCCAATCGTCTAGGACTTGCGTTACTCTATTTATCGCGTCATAATACTTATTGTCACCAGTCAATTGCGTTAGACGAGTAAATTCGAGAGACGATGATGCAGCGGCGGCAGAAGGTTCACGGGTCCCAGCCACCTGTTGGCCCGTTTTGGCGTCTTGGAAGTCCAACCAGAAGCCAGGCATACGGTTCGGGGTATCATATGCCATATATAACATGTCACCAAGCTCAATGGCCTTCTCCAATAGTGCCGTCTCCAGGCTCAGGTCGTAGGCACTGAGTAGACCGCCGAGGTGGCGTATGGTGGTTTCGAAGTAGTTGCAAGACGTGTCCTTTGTCTTGGAGTAGTCTATGGTGACGGCGGCAGCGGCGGCTTCGTAGAATTCGTCCTTGAGGTCCATTATCCAGAGGGTCGACAAGGAGTCGATGAGGGTGGCTCCCCATCCGCCGAAGCCGGGCACGTCGTATCCTCCTCCAGACACGGGTAAAAGCTCGTCATATCCAAAGCCGACATTCTTGTAGCTCGTCCAACTCTTCACAAAAGCTTCTTTCACTTCACTGCGCCGCGATGCTAGGACGGCCCCCCGCGCGACGCCCTCGGGGCTCTTGTCTTCCTTGAACGCATACTGGACTGCGGGTAGCGATTGGGGCGTGCCAGTCGGTAAGGGAGTGTATTCGGATACGGGAAAGAATTGTTTCTGCTGCGACCAGTCGTAGTGATCATGGACGTAGACGAAGCCCCAGAGCACGTTGCTGCTGTCGTCAGGAACGAGGCCGACGAGCAGGTACACGAGGAGGACGACGAGCAGCGCGACGACGACCCGTGACTTGCGGCGGAGGATCGGGGTCATGGCGTCGAAGGGGTGGTCTCGAATCTGCCAGGCCACATCCTCGGCGAGCATGGACAGCACAGTTCCTGTGTGACCCGAGCCTGGAGGCTTGTGCTTGGGGATGCTCCCACGGTGCCGCCGTATCGGATGCTGCAAGACGAATGTTGCCGGCGCATCGATGCAGGCAGGATAACGTACCACTATTATTATTACACTACCTAGAGATAGGTATTAATTTTTATGATCGTAGTGAATAAAGAAGATAATTCTGACACCGTCAAGGGATGTTCACCGTGTACTATTACGTGGTTGCAGCACTTAGGCTAAAACAAACAGGGTATGTTTATGTTGAGGAATGAAGCCAAGAAATGACCCCGGGATACTAGTGTGCAGCAGGTACATACTTACAAGCACCTAACTAAGCCAAGATTTGACAGACAAGGAGAGCCATGCGAGATAAGCCAACGTGGCCATGGCGCTGGAATAGGTACCTAGCCCCTGCCGAGATAGGTATCTAACGCTATACCATAAAGTATATTATAGCGCCCTAAGTGCCTACCTAACCTTAGCAGGTAGGGGTAGTTCCCAGGGCCAATTCCTATCCGGACAATCCGGATAACCCGTGACTATACATCAACTGACCATCATGGTCTTGGCAACTAACCTTAAAAGGTAATTTGCGGACATCATCTGTTGTAATTTTTTTACACCAAGTGATGTTAGCTACTGCAACAGGGCTGGCAGTCCCTGCAGGTGTCAGACACCTGCGTAGTAGTTGACCTAGGCTGTTGCGGCCCGTACACACCTGTCATACAGGCTATAAGGGGCTATTGGCCGCAGGCCAACCTACCTACCTAACTACCACTTCATCTTATACATACTTTGTTATCCTACACCTATATACCTACTATTCAGTCATCTATAGTCAATTTAGTTATTTTTAGCATGTAGGCCTATTAGTTGTTTTTATTATTGTTGTTTTAGTTGTTTTTGCTGTTTTTGCTTTTTTAACGCACTACTTGTCTTATATAAAAATAAGCATTATAAGTACTAGCCGAGTATACCTTTTGATTTATTATTTTTAGCTATTATTTTATTAAGGTCGCTAGTAACCTTAAATATTTTAAGAGTAGACCTTAAATATTTTAAAAGTAGACCTTTTGTTTTTATAACCTGCTAATAAAAACTAAACCTTATTAAAAATAGCTTTTATATATTACCTAACGTAAATTATTTATACTAACTGATCTATAAATACTCTCTATAAATTACTCTATTTGGTTAGTTGCTAAGACCATGATGGTTAGTTGATCTACTACCACGATAACCCTTCATCTTTAAGCTGCTTTTCTACTAGGTTAGTCTTATTATATCTCTCTCCTCCCCGTGTAAACGTAGAGCACAGAGCGCGTTCTCCCCTTTATTTTCAGCGGAATTAAGTTCTTGATACCTGTGGCAATGGGGTCATGATATAATTGCTATGCATTTATGTTAAAATATCTTCCCTTTATGTCTTTACTTGCGTGATAACATATTATTTAACCCTTTTCTTATCCGAAATCAAGTTAAAAATACAATTCTAGTGAGTTGTCAGAAATATTACTAGATGATGATGTCGAAACGCAGTGATTTAAGAAAAAAAAGAAAATCTACTAATATATAGTAATAGTGTCAGTGGACGGTAAAGCGGGCACATGGTCTAGTGGTATGATACTCCCTTCGCATATTTCAAAGGTGATTTGGGAGGGGTCCGGGGTTCAATTCCCTGTGTGTCCACACATTGCATTGTTATCGAATTTTGAGGTCATTAATGACTTTCTTTTTGATTTCTCGGCTGCGAAAGCTGTTGGATAATACGCACTATAAGACAGTGACCAAAAATTAGACCGGTCCCGCCAGATTTTTGGCGCAGCGGTAAAATCCAACAAAAGCAAGGGTACCTATAGCTTGACTACAAATCAACAACAGTGTTGTTACTAGGTTAGGCGCTGTCTTGCGCGTTGGTGAAAAGCCAAAGCTTAAACTCCTCAAATGATGATGCAGACACTCATTCGCATATTCAAAGCCATCATTTTCCAACCTATTCTATTCTATTCATAGTAGACACCCTCAGCAGGACGAGCCTTGGATAAACCAAGGGGATAACGCAGCTTCCAACTGGAAAAGAACCTATGGCTCGCCAGAACACTGCTGAGCTCGGTAAATGGTACTCGCATCTACGAAAAACATGACAAAAGCGTTGGTCGAGGCCCAATCACCTCCCAGGGGCTCCGCCAGACTTCTACTACCCCACAGCGACGACAACAACACGTCTACGGGTCTTCGTACCTACGATGCAAATGTCTGGAAGTCACTAATCATCTGCTTCCATGGCTCAGGTGAGACCTGCTCGCCGAGCTGGGACGCTGTCGCCTGTTACTCTACGATCGCGGGCCTGGCAACTTACAGCCTGCGGAGGTCGCGGCGGAGATGTGGGAATACGTTACCGTAGCCGGTCCCGTTACTAATAAAGGCGGGAACGAGAAATATGAAGAGAACGAGGAGGGTCCTGGTCACAAAGTAGGGGAAAGAGATACTAAGCACGATCTTCACGGGCCGTACCTTCTCATCGCGCACTCATACGGTGGCGCCTTTGCGCGGGCTTTCGTGCAGCATGAACACGAACACCTGATCTCGCAGCGGAAGAAAAAGGAGAAGAAGAAGCAAAGGGAAATGAAGAGAGATTGTGGAGTGTTAGGCCTCGTGCTCGTAGAGACGGGTCAAGAAGGGGGTCTAGATCCACGGCTAGACGAGCGCCAGATCCGCGAGGCGGTGGGTGCTGGAGAACGTTGAGGAGCAGGAAGAAGATGAGGAAAAGGGGGGGGGAGAAGGAGGGGACGACCGCTTGGAAGTTGACGTTGGAGAAGTTGAGGCGGTTTCGTTTACGGCGGTAATGGCTCGAGATAATGAGTTAGGCAGTTGGCTTGCTTGAGAGATGCGTGCTTCCTTGCGCTCGATATATTCTATCTGTCTATCTGTTTATGCCGACCACGCGAATTCATGGTTGCGCAGCTGTTTATATACCGGGAGAGAAATAACTCTTGAGATTGTAAACTTGGCAATTATCAAGCATTGCATAATATCACCGAGCTGAGCATACATTCCCCCTCGGATCGCGCCAGCGAAGACGGAAGCGAAAACTCGTCGCACTTAGAGTTACTTCTTCCTACTTTATTTCTGGCAAGTAGCAAAACTTAATGGCTCGATTAATATCACCCCCGTAGAACCTCTTCGTTATCGTTATTTGCGCAATAGTTTATTCCACATAGAGAGAAAATGTCTTGTTATATATATCTAATAGTCATATATCGATTGTGCGCCCGGAGGTTACGTGAGTTTACTATGAACCTGTGAATAGAATAGAGCCGGCACGAACACTGCCAAGGTTGGGCATCGTAGAGTACTCGGGTTCGATTGCATTTGGGGTACGATTGCATTGAGTAGGTGCCAAGGCAAATTGATTATTTATTAACGTGGCAATCCGGTACTCCTTAACTAACCGCCCACGATGCCGAGAACTTTCATATAGATAGGGTAACGTGTGGCATTCGTAAGATACGAAAGTAGTACAGATTTTCATAGAATATGACTATGCAATGTATTTAAAGCGGGGGTATATCCAAACCATGCGCCTTCTATAAATCATTTCAACCCATCCTTTTGGGTCGGGGTAGTTAATCTTCAAACGCCCAATGCTCGCTTTTTTTGTCCGAAAAATCAACCCAAGCCCTGCATATGCCGTAGTGCTTCGTTTCAAACCACGACGCCAAACTAATGCTAATAAAATATCGCCGCGCGAGCGCTATGCAGGCCGGTTTGCACAAATCAGGAGAAACCGGGGAATACTGTCCGTGCAGCACGCCTCCCTACAACGAGGTTAGCTGGCTTAGCATGACAACATGATGTTATTTGGGGGTAGCACACATTGAGGACGCCCATCATCACTATTTGTCTCATCAATAGGCGTGATCAACTCCTGCATCCGTTGTCTTGCAAGGCCTGGAGGACTGGGCTGTTTTTGTAATTGAATCGAAGTACCGAGCTCTATAGCTGTTGAACCTTCACCATGCGAAGCTCGATGGTCGAAACCATTCCGATTTAACATCCGTCGCCACCTACTCCTAAAACTAGTCCGGAAGCCGCGCTGTGTTCTTAGTTTTCGCGTGCTCAGCTCTCTTCGAACCATCGAGTTCGTAATCGTAGGACAATGACCCCGTGGGTACATTGACGCCCTACAAGTGGGGCACAGCGAGCTCAACTCACTTAAGAATTCATCGATACATTCAGGATGGAAGATATGGCCGCATGATAGTTCGCGAATGATTGTTACCTTTGATTGGAAATCTTCCAAGCAGATTAGGCAGGTAGGTTGATAATCGAGTCGGTCACCATGCTTTCCACGATTGTAGCTCGATGACGGAGAAGCAGAGTCGAAAGATGTCTTGCCGGGTGATTGAAGGGATTTTCGGAGATTCTGCGATGGGGAGATGGGATTGTTATAGTTGTATGTAAACAAGGGATAAGTTTGAATATGGGCGAGTGGTACAGTAAGACGTTTGATGCCCAGGGCTTCTAGGTTTACCTCGCCGTTCATAACACGGCGGCGAAGAGAGGCCCGTCGGCGGTTCTGAACCCAGTGCATCAGCAGTGAAGTCCCCCCAATGACACCCACAAGTACACCCAGAATGATCAACACCAAGGCCCAGATGGCTAGTAGTGAAGGCTCGGGGACCACAGTCAACTGTGTCCAAACCCGTACATAGTCTGCGGGGTTCGGGGAATATGTTTTGTTGATCTCATCGGCGAAAGGAACCTCGGACAAGTCCCCGGAGTATAAACTTAGCTGTTGCATCATGCGCTCTCCTGAGCTACTTGAAACGGCATAGACAGGGAAATGATTTGAATGCTTCCAGCTTCCTCCTCCATCTATGTCCCATAGATCCGAGTCAACATCAGGTGGCTGGCCATCCTCGTCATCTGGCCGGTACACAAGCATGGCCCGCAAAGGATCCATCCCTGCGGACTCCATGAAAGACTTGGTACAGCTGGAATTAATCCATGGTACTAGGGCAATGAGGATGTAATCTGTAGGTGGGAGGTTTGCTTGCCGCGTGGCATTTGATGGGATGTACTGGTTCGACAAGTCAAAGCACTCGTCGTCAGAGAGAATATCTGGTACATATAATAGACCCTGGATGGTCCCCTTTGTCGTTATTGCATCAGTAGTGGAGAGAGTAGTGATATTTCCAGGAATAGTCTCCGAATATGCTATCTGACTCTAATTTGGGCCAATGTTAGGCCTAAGGCAAATTTGCGAAGCAGTGATGATGACGTACCGAGAGGGCAGTGATATTTTTGATAATGGTGCTAGGGACGGTATGACCGTTGGACCGCGTGGGATTGCTGAACAACAAACTGTGATCTGGTTAGTGAGACGACGATGACAGAGAAGCAGCTTGATGAGGCAGCTAGTCGACAACGCTGATGATGCAATGGGGGAAAAGCAATATCGGCTTCATGTAGTAGGTGACCAACACGGGCCACGCTACAGCTCCCACACCCACAGCCAAGTGTTGCTGTTAGCCGCGAGGCCGGTGTCTATCAGAAACGGAGCTTGACTTGGCCTTGGCCTTGGCAACAACCACGGCGTCCCCACGACGACCCGACGGGACCGTAGCCCAAGGGGTCGGGCCGTGTGCTAAGGGGATGGAGGGGGGGAAATATGGTCAAGCTTTTTCCAAGCACGCCCGAGGCTGACGGCAGGGAGATCTGACACGGGCGCTGGTGGGAGACAAAAGAACGATTTGCTTGGCAACCTACACAACATTCCGAATGGCTTGAAGTGCTGTAAAATCACGTCAGTTGCCGCTGTGCCAAGGAGGCTTAAAAAGAGGGCTGGGTTGGCGCCAAGAAGTCCCGATCAACCGCATTGATAAACGATGATAAACCATTGGGGCGCGCAGGGCGAGAACTTGAGACTAGCAAGGAAAATAAAAAGACGGGACAACACAACACAACACAATGTAAGACAACTTTTCATCCTATTGCCGATGCCGATCCGGGACGGCAAAGGGAAGGGAAACGGAAAGGGTGAGGTAACATAAGGGATGTGAAGAGAGAGGCTTTGACACGCGCCAGGGGAGGAAAGGAGGCGAAAGCCAAGGCCAAGGCACGGCGAGAGACATACACATGCTCCTGAATCATCATTCATAAACAAGTCGCTGAAACACCGACAACGACAATCGGCAGGCGGGCGGGGAGAAGACCGAGACACACACAAAGCACGGCGCACACTCACACTCGCACTCGCACGCACGCACACACAAACTGGACGTGGGGAGATGCGGGATCGCGATACGGCGGGCAGCAGGGCAAGATCAGATTGAGACTGGATGATTAGTCCACGCACAATGTATGGCGGGTGCTGTAATGTGTAATGACGAGGCCGAGAGAGAATGGGCGAAAATGTTGTTCTTGGCAAGTTGGGGTTTATGGGGGGCGGCCAGAGGAGTCAAGATCCTATGCTGAAGGCCTAAGCTGGCTTAAGTGGGTTTGGCGCCAGGGATTTTCAGGTGATATCACGTCTGATCAGGCACTTACAGGGGAATGACCAGGGTCGTTAATTTTGGTGATTTGTGGTGGTGGGGGGGGGGGGGAGGGGGTGAAGGGGACCTGTGGCAGGATTGTGGCAGTACTTAATCCAGTATCGTGTGTTGTAGTGGTACGCTCTGGCGCTG